CTCCTCTGCTCCTTTACTTCATTCAGTAAACTGACCATCTCTGTTTTTTAAGAAAGTAACAGTCATTTCATCTAGCGTGATGTTGCTGCCATGCCACACCTGTTTGGGGAAGGGAATGTATGGTTTCCAGTGTTTTATTCTGTAAACAACACCTTTCTGATTTATTTGTTTATTTATAAGCTAGAAATTTGAGCAGCTACCAGGACAGGCTTACTTCTTTAAGAAAGAAAACTCTTTGAGCACTAGGTTAGGTCAGCCATGCCTTTGTCTACCTGAATCTTGAAAATCTTTGAGAATGGAGGTTCCACAACCTCTCTGGATAGCAGTTCCAGTGCTGTGCTATCCTCTGAATGAAAAAAAAAGTTTTTCTTGTGGTTTATTCTGAATCTCTCAAGGCAAAATGTGTTGCTGTTGCCTCTTATTATATCCTACCAAGGAGAGTTTGGTGCTCCTGTCTTTGCAATTTCCTTTCAGATGGTTGGGGGCTGCTATTAGATATTCTCCTTAGCCTCTTCAGGCTTGAAAAGTCTAGCTCTTACAGCCTTTCTTTCTCAGCTGTGCATGCTATACGGCACCCATCTTGGTAGCCCTCTGACAGACCCTCTCTGGTTTTTCAAGATCCTCCCTGAGCAGTCTGATCCAAAACTGGAAACATTGCAGCATTTAGAAGAAGGGGATAACTTCCTTTTCTCAAATGTTTCTCTCATGTGTCCTTGAGAAACAATCTTACGAGGTTCAGTTGTTGTATCTCGCAAATACAAATTTAAACTGGAAACTTAAAAAAATAAAATAAGAGACTTAGGAAATAGCTTGGATTTTGATATGACAAAATTCACTTTCAAACATGGACGTTTTTATCTTTTAAGAAGTAATTTGAAAGTTTCTAGACTGAATAAGGCAGAGGCTTATGATGAAAGCCAAATCATAATGATATGCTAATGCTTTATAAGAATGCTACTCAAACACTTTCTTTTTAATTGGGAGGGAAGAGGTTAATCTGTTTTTTAAAAAATCTTCAAACCTGTTGGTGTTGCATGCAAAGAATGTAAGGTAAGCTTTTGTCTGGAGTCCAGCATTTAACAAGAAGATTATTGTAGTGTTTAGCTGTATGGACACTGCACCATCAAACGGTTTATGTTTCTGTGTTCTTAATCCAAGTCTGAAAGAATCTGTTAAAACAATAGAAGCAAGAAGATTTTTCAGATTTATACTGGAACTAAAATCCCACAGTTAGTGAGAGATTTGATGATATACACTCAAGTCTTGCTTTTTTTTTTATCAGGTTTTGAGCCTGTAGTGATAGAAAATGTATTAGAAGGCGATGAACTACGGACAGACATCGAAGCAGTGGAGGCCAAAATCAAGGCTCTTGGTCCTGAAAATGTTCTTTGTGTGCATTCTACAACGTCTTGCTTTGCTCCAAGGGTACCTGACAGGTAAGTAGTCTTTGTAAGAAGTATGCTATTTGTTACTGAAAAAAAACAAAAACAAAAACCAAACAGAACTTCCATGAATGTCTGTCTGCCTCAAATTGCTTAGCTACTGACAACAGTTAGTAAGGATACTTTAATCCCCTCACTTAAGGAAAATGGCAGATTGAAACAATGTTGCACTTTCAGAAAATTATATTAGAAAAGTGAGAATAATGCAGAAGGTCTTCCTTCTGTCAAATAACAGATGTTAATGATGATCTGTTGTGGTGAAATGGATGTCACTTTGGCACTGGTTTTCTTGTAATTTCATGGAAGTAGTAAAAGTAGACTTTCATAAAAACAGAGTCCAGGAAATGTATTGCATAGCTACTGGAATATTACTGTTGCTAATTTTATCTAATTTTAATATTACCATTGCCTTTTCTACTCTTCTCCTCTCGCCCATGATGAATTTTCCTAGGCTGTTAATGTAGTTAAAAAAAACAAAAAGCTGCAGCTAAATTTAAAATCTTTGCTTGACTGACTTTCCTGTATTATACTGATGTTTATTGGGCTAATTAAGATATACTGATATAAGGAAACTCTTGGAAGCATCTAGGGCAGATGTGCGGTACGAGCATAACATATGATTTGCCCTGCTGTAACTTATCTTGGTTTGAACATTTGCTGCCGGATTGTATGATGCTGCTACTTGTAATTTCCAGCTGTTGAATCACCACTAAAAGAAGCTTAAAATACATTGCATTCTTTCCTAATATTATATGTCCGTATACATAACTTCCATAGTTGCTACAAAGATGTCATTCAAGCACTAGCTGAAGCTGAGATGAGCATTACAGTTATGGATGGGAAATAGAGTATCTGAGACATTATTTCAATGTGTAGCTTGGTTATGAAATATTTGAAAAGTTCTCAGTCTGAAGATGACATGTTGGAGTAGAGGTGCCTTAAGTACTTGGTATATTGAGTCATTTGTCCAAAATTGGCACCATTGTTACTTGTAAAACTTGCTTTCTCTATTTGCTTACGAAAATAAGTATCAAGCAGCAAATTCCTTAGGTTTTGCAACTGAACAGGTAAATTTTTATGGGCTTGTATGTAGTACACTGAAGTATGAGATATTAAGAAGATGTCTTTTTTACATGATTTTAAATGTAGTGTCTCGGTTGTTCTGCTTCAATTGTTTTTAATTTATCACAAAATTGAAAAGACTTATGCTTGGAGTTCCTCTGCAGTGCATGCTTTTTTGTTAATTACTTTGTTATCTGGAAAATTTAGTTGAATATTTGCAAATGTAGGAAAGAAACATTATTGATTCTGAAACATGGTGAGTAAAGATATGTTTTGCTCTGTTTTCCTACCTTTAAGAACCCCCAGTATTTATCATAGGCTAAGCCAGTTGCTAGAGGGAAGTTAAAACTGTATAATTCTGTCAGAATACTATGAACATTGCTTGAAATTGACTTGCAGATTTATTGGCTAACTTAAATCACAGCTATCAAAATTGAATGGTCTATTTTATAGCTTGGGTAAATGAATCTTTTCCTTATCTGCTTCCTCTTTTTGACATGCGATTATTTTGTCCTCTGCAACTAAGAGATGAATTATTAGGTAGTGGCACTGCGTTATGATATACCACAGATATAGGAGGATTTGAACGCACTTTCTATTTAAAGGATACTGTCAACTATTGAAGGCCATAACATTCATCTTCCTACAGGAAGGAAAATCCCATACAGCATTTCTGGAGGGTACCATTTTAAATGTCTGTTTTTAAATACCTTGCATTTGTAAGGCTTTTTTTAGTTGTGGTGGTGGTGTTTTAAAATTTTAAGTGTCTTAGGATTGTTAAAAGGTCAGGGTAAGAGTTTTATGCCTGTGTACATATTTCCTTTGAAGTATTATTTAACTTCATGGAAATAATTCACTAGTGTATAAACCCCCTTCCTCAAAGCGACATCAGTTCTCAGACAGTCTTTTACCTGCTGTTGCTGTGAGTTGTCTCTAAAACTAATGTATTTAAGAGAGACCTAAAGGGCAGAAAAGTGTGTTTTTAAGTTAGTTTATGTACCTAGCAGAACGCTGTATCTTGTTACTTTCATTAATATTTGAAGAAAGACCAAAGCTTTCTTTTTTATGATCTTTCACAAACAGAAGAGTAAGAAAGAATAAATTGGAAAATATTACTGTAAGTTCTATTTGTGACTTTTTAAGAACTCAAGTAGTAGCCAAACTTACATTAATGCTTTATTTTTCTACTATGACTAGCAGCACTTTTAATGGTTCATTTTAAGCCTTGGAAGCAGAGGAGTGCTGTACATAATTGTTTGCTTCCCTTGTTAATCACATATTCTTTTCAAACAGTAGCACTCTCATCCTGTATAGTAATATGCATCTAATTGTTCAGTACAATATTTTTAGCAAAAGTAAAGAGGCTTTTCTGTTTTCAGTACCTGTAGAAGCTACCTTACTGCTCCCTTAAGTCTCAGGAGGTGAGAAAGGCAAACATACATAGCAATACACCCTCTATGTTTCCAGTTTGGTGAAATTCTCTACCTGCACTTGAAAAGAATCCTGTAAGAAGGCAACTGTTTTCCTTTGAGTCTCTGTGGAAGGTGAGGAATGAGTCTGATTAAGATCAGCAGATCAAAAGGCAAAAGCATTGCCTTGTGTAGTGTTACGTTTCCTGAAGTATTCTGTTGATGTTACACAGTTCAGGATTCAGGATGTTGATAAATGTGATAAATTGTTGGACATGCAGCTCCTGCCAAATATCCTGACTATAGAGGAACAATAATTACATTATACCACTGGTGTTTCCTAATCATTAAATACTTGTGATTTCTTTAGGGATAATATGGCAATGATGTTTTCCTAAGGATTGAGGTTTAAAAAGTTTAATCTGAGGTTTGCAGCTGAATTTTGCATTATAAAATGACACTAGGCAATGTAATAGAAATAGAATACAAAGAAATGTCAACACTTGGAAAATGTTTTCATACTCTGTCACATTTTATATGAATGTCAGTAAATTACGGTGAGAGGCTGTACAGAAGGAGATAGAGTAAAAATGTATTTAAGATTTAAAGTTTCCTGTTTTTTTAAAAAGATAATATTACCTTCATCATCACTTTAAATTATTATATATTACCTTATTTATTTCAAATATATTTTATTTCTAAAATATATTCACAGGTTTGGGGGAAATCAAGAGCTTTTTTAAAAAATAGAGTGTAATTGGAGGGCTTCAAAAAAGGATACTAAGTACATGTATGTTTAAAATGTTGAAGGCCTTTACCCAAAATGATCTATGCACCCACATAAATCATAGTTTGACTGAGAAATCAATCCAGGCTGAGCTCACTGTGATTTTGGGGATTTCTAAAGGCGAGTGAAGAGTTGTCTTTTATCTCTGAGTAAACAATTGAACAAAGTTTTAATTTGTTGATTTCCACCTTTAGACATTTTAGGGCTCTCCATTCCTTTGAAGAATATATTTTCTGTTAATCAGTTTATTTGAAATAAGCAAGTGTGATTTCAGCGAAAGGGTTGTAATATTAGTCCTTGGAAATAAACAGAAGCATGTAAAGGCTTACTGTTATATGATGCTTTTGGTTCCCAAGACACATCTTGAAACTTCCATTAGGCTGTTTTCAGGTTGAATATTAAAAGAAAGGGGAAAAAATATGAATAGCTAAAGCTCCATTAGTTATCATTAAAGTAGTATAAAAAAATGCTTATATCTGAATCAGAATGATTTGGGATCTATTTACTGTGTTCCAGACAAAACTTTCAGTGAAGCATGAAAAATTTCAGCCCAGGTCAGCGACTTGTAGTATATGTAAATACTAACAGAATTTACTTCTTACTTTATAGCTTAAGGTGACAAGTGCTACCTTCAGGTACTAATCAAGAAAAGTTTCTTTTCTCATTCTGACCTCCTTGTAGACCTTTCAGTCTTTTAATGGTCTGATTTGTAACATGAGTTACAGTTATCAGTGCTTCTCTAAATTACAATTTTATGCTCATAGACTGGAGGAACTGGCTGTGATTTGTGCTAATTATGACATTCCCCATATTGTCAACAATGCATATGGAGTTCAGTCTTCAAAATGTATGCATCTTATCCAGCAGGTAGGAGCTGTGTATCTCAAATAATTTTTTTAACAGGTGTAAGTAAATCTCTGACTGTAGACAAGACTAGCAAATTTTATCAGATGTTTCACAGCTTTGAGACTAATCCCATGCGTGTCTGATATTTGAATAATTTTCTGAGAAAGCAGAGCAGTGGGAAATAGAACTTAAAAATAATATTTGTTACTTCTATTATGTGCTTTTTATGTATTAAAACCAAATTTATTTAGGTTTTGTTTATGTTCAAGTGTATGTAATGGAAAAATGTCCGTAGTAAGCTTTCTTAAAATATTTCATAAACTTATGAACTAAAAATGAAGTAATGGATCATACTTGAATAGGGATTAAGCCTTCAACAGAATGTGAGTTACAGATTTTCAGTTGAAGGTACAAGATTCTACAACAACAGTTTATAGGTGTTGTCACTGTTAAAATATTGTTGTCACAGAGAACAGTTGAGGTAACTGGGTTAAATTCCATGTTGTGTTCGAAAAAATTTAATTTCTGTTCCTGTTTAGTTCGAAAACAAGGTTTCTTAATATTTTAAGATCAGCCATGAAACTTAGAATTCTTGCATTTTTGCTCATTGCAAAGTACATGCACTGTTTCTTCAGTATCTCTCTTTTCTGTTGCCCATATCAAAAGAATAGGAAGATATTTTTTAACAGGATCCAGGGGATCAATTTAAATTATGCTGGTCTTGTTTTCTCTAATTAAAAAGACATTATGTTATTAACTGGGCACAGACTAATTTGATACATAATTATGACAGGAATATTACGTTGACATTTCTAAATCTTGAGAGACTGAAGGAATTTGACAAAACTTCAAGTGATACGTGAAATATAAAATGGCATATGCTTTATTTGTAATGTGCTTGGTACATATTCATTGTATTTAACTTGCGCAAGTCTAGTGAAATTCTGACATGAAGGAGGCTGTGGAATTGATGAGTTTTACTGCATGAAATGTATCTAATGGCAATCTTTTCAGACTATGAAGCTACAAATAGGAATGTTACTGTGTTGGTTCCTGTTTTTTCTTGGCTTCTTGAGAGGTTGTTTGAGCGTTTTTTTGTTTGTTTGTTCTTTGGTTATGCAAATGTATACATTTGAACTCTGATTTGTTTTACATTTATTTACAAAAATGTATTTCCTGCAATAGAAAATGTCTGTGAGGAAGTAGTTACTAATGAATACTTAGGAATATGTACATGCTGAGCACAGTGTGAACAGAACTTGCAAGAGTATCACAGGAAGGAGCTTTTCAGACCATTTTATTTGTCGCACTTTTCCTCTGGTGGTCTCCTGTCAATTAAATCAAATTATAGCTGCTGTCATTCATCTTCCCATCAAAAAGCTGACAAATTCAGAGTGCTTCTTCCCATCTCCCATGTACTAAGCTATTCAAACAGAAATAATAACTGTGGTTTAGTTGGATCTGCTTTTTTCACTCTTTTTGCTGTAGGCATTAGCTCTGTTTCTATTTCTTGGTTTTAGTATGTAGTACTTTAATATGTATGTATTTGAATATAGTTTAATATGTATGTTCTTTAATATACTTTTCAGGTTCTGTTTTGCTGCATACTTTTTAATTGTACAGTGCACAGTAGCACATTACTCAGATTGAAGATGTACTGCAGAATCTAATTTTTTTTCCCTCTAAGAATGTCTAAGTAGCTAGGTATAAAGACATTTTGTTTTCTGGGAAATCTGCTATCAGAAGTTATAAGGCTGCTTGCTAAATCAAGATCCAGATAAGAAGGCGTGCTGTCACAGCCCGCTTGTTTTTATGTAAATTTATATATGTATTGAGAAAAATCTTCTTCTTTTCTAATGAAGCATTAACCTGTAGCCCTTTACTGTGAGAACCTGTGAAATGTTTTGGGTTGTACAGTTTTAACTGTATATTGCCCATTAAATTCCAAGGGGTTTGTTTTTGGTTGTTGTTGAAAACAAGCTACACTTAGACTTGCAGGATTTAAAATCAGTATTTTAAATCATAGCAAAATAGAAATTTGTAAGGTACTATGTAAGCAGACAATGGTAATAATAGTGAGCAATGCTAAGAAAAGTAATACTATTATTTGTAATTTTTCATCACAAATACAATATCTGAGAGAGTTTCAGGAATTATATTTATTTCAGTTACATTGCTGTGTAATTCTGATGCTACCACATGTTCCCTTTTTCCTAATGTATGCTGTTGATTTTTTGTTGTTGTTTGTTGTTCCTTTTGGACAAAGGGTGCTCGAGTAGGCAGAATAGATGCTTTTGTTCAGAGCTTGGACAAAAATTTTATGGTTCCAGTAGGTGGTGCTATCATTGCTGGCTTCAATGAGTCCTTCGTTCAGGAGATCAGCAAAATGTATCCAGGTAAGTAGTTCATGGACTGATTTCATCCATACAAAATAACTGTAGAAAACTTGATTATCAGCTTTCTTTCACATAAAATTTATTTCTGCCACTTTAATCTCTAAATTTTTTTTTTTCTTCAGGAAGAGCATCTTCATCTCCTTCCTTAGATGTCCTCATTACACTTCTGTCTCTAGGTGCCAGTGGCTACAAACAGTTACTGAAAGAGAGAAAGGTAAGCTTTTTGGCAAACAGCACTTTGTTGAAGTCAGCTGTTAACAAAGTTCTGTTGCAAAACTGCTTTGTGTAGTAAATCCAGTTTCTGTCTAGAAAGCCATTGAACTTCTTCTGAGCTCACAGCTCTGAATCTGGAAAGGCAGTATGACATAATTACTTCTTGGCTAAATGGTGCTCATGAGTAAGCATGATTTCCATGTTGTTTTCCAAACCAGAAAGCTAAACTGAGGTCCTGTACTATCTTGTACATTATTCATATTTGTTGTTGTAAAATATGTCTAATACAGTAGAATTTTGCCCACAAAAGCTTCATCTGAGAAGTACTGTGCTGTGTTACCATGGTCACACTGCTTCCAGGACTAAAGCATGAGATCGGACACTCAGAGGCAACCTGAGGTCTCTGCTCTTCTTCATTTGGCCCTATTGTGCCTTTGTGCTATGATAGTGTTTAATTAAATGCTTGTGTACCACATTCTCTGGAGAATCACAGCTTCTGGTTAGGTTATAAATACTGTGCATGGCCACAAAAAGAGAAAAATACTGTGCATGGCCACAAAAAGAGAAAAATGCTGTCATTTAAGGTAGTCATCTAGATACAGAGCTAGGTTTCTTCTCTGCCTCTCACAGACTATATGTTTTATGTTGGTTATAACTGCATTGCACAAACATTCAAGCGGTCTAAGGTTGGAACCTGTACATCTTGAGTTGCCCTTAATTCTGGACATAATACAGGCCTGATTTGGCTATCTTTATGTATTAACACAGACCATTCTTTTTGCAGAGAGTTTTAGGTAAAGAAATGCTGTGAACTAAGTACTGTTAAGTTGTTAGTTTTAAATCATGCGTGATCTGTTCCATTATTTTATTTAGAAACTACGTTCCAATTGTTAAACTGATGCCTCTGATTACCTGGCAGGGCAATATTGCTGGATGCTGTGACTAGTTTCTAGCTGCTTGTAGAGGCATTCAGAAATTTTGTACTGGAATTGAGATCCTGTAGGAATAGCTAGACTATAGAAAACCAAACTAGTTTAGTGGCCTTGAAACAACCAAGAAGTGATCTGTGCAACTAAAGTGAAAACACGGCTTATGAAACACTGGAAGCAGTTACCACTTTTGCCACTACTGCAATACAGTTTCTAACATTTTATTCTGGCTGTTTTATGTGTTGCCGTGTATGGTTTGTGTCTTCATTAAAAGTAGGTTGTATTTTTTGCCCCTTCACTCTCATCTCCAAAATAATCTCGAGTGAATTCATCGTGTCTTCTGCAAAGCTGATTTTGATGTTAGATTTACAGTGGTAGCAGATACACAATGGACAGCATAAATATTCTCTTAACTCATAAATAATAATTCTTTAATAAATAGAATGTCTTGATGAATAGCTGTATATTTTGAATCATGTAGTTTTCTTGTAAGTAGAATTCTAAGGTGAATAAAGCATTATATTTTTACAACTTCAGGTCTTTTTATTTCAGTTGTGAGTGTACTCTATATACACAGCCTTTTATATGGAATAAATATGTTTCTTTTATTGGATTTGCTGTAGAAATAGAAACCTTTTTTTGCTTAAATCTGTTTGTTCCTGAATTGTAAAAATGTAATAGTGATAGTTTATTACCTGTGCTCTGTGAAAGCATAGGCAGAGCTATTAGGCTCCCAGCAGGAGCTATTTATAGCTTGACATTGAGTACTCCTTTCTATATCGGTACAGCTACACCTACTCACACAAAAAGTCAGCTATAAAAAACCTCAGGTGTGGGGTTTTTTTTTCTTTCTCCTTTTACCTTACCCTTATTAACATGGGTGTTACTTCAGGCTATTTGAGCTCAAGCCAGAAAGACCAGAATATTACTGAGAAGAAACTAATCTTGTACAACCAAGGAAAGAAATAGCCTGCCCGGTTTTGCTTTTACACAGATGAACTGTTTAATGTAGGAAGGGAAGAGATTATTTGAGGGAGAGGAGCACGTACACGGAATGGGATTTTCTGACAAGCTGGCAGTCATGGAGTGTGCAATTGTCCTAGGGTATGAGATTATATGTTATGATATGAAGGAGAAAAATGGTGCAATGGATCTGAGGACAAGAGCAGGGGAGTAACGCACACATACTGTCCAAATGTCTGAAGAAAAGTGGCCATATATGAAAGCCTAATAAGGAATGTTTTCAACAGTCATATTTAGCCTTGATGTTTCCAGAGAAAGGGTAAAAGAAGAGCACCAACAGTAATGTTTTCCTACTTTTCCTAAATTTTCAGTATTCCTTTTTATATGTTTATGTAGTGTTTAGAAGTTTAGGGGTTTTTTTTAATCTCTTAGGGGATTCTAGGTCATTTTGTAATGCAGATAATGGCAGCTGATCCATAGTCAAATTCATTAATATCTTTGCTTTTAAAGAACTTATAATATTATGTAAAGGTTAATTTTTAGTAGCAACTCCTTTGATTTCCTCAGTACAGGTTATGTTGTGTCCCATATTCTGCATTGCCAGGTCTAAAACCCTCTATTTTCGTGTATGTGCTTGTGTGTCTGAACCAGGCCACGTGTGGCAAATACAGTGGTTATGCTGTGTAATAGCAGAAACAGTAGACCTCAGCTGTCACCTCAGAATTGACAGAGAGCAAGGACCCTACATTCAGGGTTTACATTCAGGTTTAATACTGGTTAACTATTTTCCAATGTGGTCCTTTTAATCCATTTATCTAACTATTATACTGGTATTATTGTAGAGGTGATGGCTTCGTTTTGTTTTCAGCAGTTATGGATTTCCTCATTAGACTTTCCTTAACAGTCTAACGATCAAGATAACTCTGATTTTCTTAAATGTATTTGTGTTACTTGGGACGTGATGGAGCTTTTTATATCTATATCCATCTGTCTGTATACTTTCTAAGAGTGATTAACTGGAGTAATTTTTATGACCTTATGGAGTATGTATCTAAAATATTTGAAATCAGACCGAGTGGGAGCAAATTGTTTGGTTTTTACAATTCAATAAAATACTAGGTTTATATTTCATAGTTTATCATTGATGTAATTATTCTGATAGGAATAAATTATTTGTACAGTTCAGGGTGAGTTTATATTGCTGCTCTACTTATGATTGAATTTAAGAATAAGAGAAAAGCCATTTAATGCTGGATATTAACAATGTGAAAAATCAAATATTGTTACAAGAAGACAGACATTTGTTACTCTCTTTTTGTCTAGTTGGTTTGCTACACTGTAGTTTGTCAAATGTGTGGGATTACTGCAGGATTTTCCCTGTGTGAAATATGTGGAACCATATTCAAATTTTAGACTGGCTGGAGGCAAGATAGTTTAACTGAATGTAATCATTATCTTCAGGGGTGTTGTGTGGTTAAACAAATGCCAAGTATGAATGGAAGCTTCAAAGAGGCCTACATACTTAAAGCAGGTATTGGAGAGGTACAGCCTACAAGGAGCCTGATCTCAAGGTCTTCGAAGTGCTGAAGAGAAAATGTTAATCGGTGTTGTTAAGAAAGACCTTTTAAAAAAGTATGAGCATGGTGATTGTCAGCATTAGTGTTACCATATCAAGTTGGCAAGTTTCTGTTGGATTACTTTTATATGATATAAAGATTTAAAGGTTCCGTAATTATTTTCCTATTTTTAAAACTTTCAAGTACATTATAAATTCAGAATGAAATTATTGATCTCACAATTCAAGAGAATCTATATATGAGGGTATGTGGTATATGTCAGTATCACACACGTACACGTACAGTTTCTGTCATGTGTTTGGCGGCATTTCAAGAAAGTAAGCCTTCCACTGGGACGCTCTGGAGCACGTACTAACAGGTCTCCATGGTCAGCACTGCAGCTTCTCTTTGTCTGCATGAAGTGGTGTGCCAAGTGGTCCGGTAAGATCACATGTCAGATGCAGCTGGTCAGTCTGAAATGCAAAGCAGAAAAGAGGTGGTGATGGTTGCATTAGAAACAGCTGCTGCTGCAAAGTAATTTAAGATGGGACCAGATCAGTCTTGGGTACAGCATATGACGGCAGTCTATCTAGATCAAAGAGGCTGTAGAATTACTCTTCTGCAGTGGCTTCTTCAGTGCCATAAACAGCTATATGGCTGTTCTCTGAGGACATCTCATCTTTTCAGATGAAGGGGGAGGAAGGCAGAGTTTTACAGATTCGGAGCCTGAGCAAGCTGGGTGGTGAGAACCAGCTAGGTTAGGGTCAACCACACACAAAAAGTTTCTTGGCTTTCATCAGTTGTTTCTCTATCACCTGATACGGGACTAATGGCATATTGAGTACCTCCATCTGCTTTTTCTCTGGGGTTACTGGCTTTTTCTTTACTTGTTTCCCTCTAGTTATTTTCATTTAGAAGAACAGTGCCTATCACAATGGAGCAACAAATGAAAAGTCACCCATAGTAGTGTAGGTTCTGTTAAAAATAGTTTTGTATTGTAAATACTGTATGATTCAAATATTTTTAATAATTGTTACAAACCTCCTTTTGAAGGGGAACAAAGCTGGTGAGGGGTCTGGAGAACAAGTCTTATGAGGAGCGGCTGAGGGAACTGGGGTTGTTTAGTCTGGAGAAGAGGACGCTGAGGGAAGACGTTATCGCTCTCTACAACTACCTGAAAGGAGGTTGTAGTGAGGTGGGTGTTGGTCTCTTCTCCCAAGTAACCAGCGATAGGACGAGAGGAAATGGCCTCAAGCTGTGCCAGGGGAGGTTTAGATTGGATATTAGGAAAAATTTCTTTACTGCAAGAGTGGTCAAGCATTGGAACAGGCCCAGGGAGGTGGTGGAGTCACCATCACTGGAGGTGTTCAAAAAAACGTGGACGTGGCAGTTTGGGACATGGTTTAGTGGCCATGGTGGTGTTGGGTTGATGGTTGGACTTGATGATCTGAAAGGTCTTTTCCAACCTTAATAATTCTATGATTCTTGAAAGTATTTTTGTATACATATGTGGAAGTAGGCCATTTTGCCCAAATAATTGAGTCATTTGGCACATTAGATGCATACACCATTGTTGATTTGTTCTTCATGTGTTTTGAGGTATTTTACTGTTTCAGGTGCTAGAAAGACCAGCAGAAGTGCAAGACATTTTTACAGAGTTTAGCGTTCATTTCACTAGCCTGCTGAGGTTTTGTGATAAGTTTCTAAGGGCGAAGAGTGAATTAAATAATGAAACTTAACTGACATTGTATTGTTCAATGCAACTTTAGCGTAATAGTTAGCTTCATTGGAGAAAACTTAAAGTGTCTAGCACAGAAAATATATAATTGCTTAGGGTGCTTATAAATTTTCCACATAACAGAAATATTTTATAATAGAGGTTGGTTATAGATTTGACCTCACAGAAATACTGCTTTTTTCCTTTTTTTGGAAAGGCTGTTAATCTGTTTTGCAACAAATTGCTTAACTTCTGAAACTATAAAATATCTAGAGGGCTTCCAATGGAAAGATGCAAAGTAGTGTTGTTCATAAAAGTAAGTTTTGAATTTGTGTTCAGGTAGCCTCAAACTGATGAAAATACCTACTTGTTTTGGGTTTTTTTTGCCATCTTTCCATTCTACCTTGTTTTGACAAATTCCTATGCAGGTAAATGCTCATCTAGTAACCTAGGTATTTAATCTTAATTTAATACATTTATACAGTGTGTAACTGGTTATACCAACTTGCAGTCCTTTCAGTAATAAATACTGTAAGAGATGCAATAAAGAATTCCCTAGGTACAACACACAAAAATTAATTATATGGGAATTTGTTCCTGTACAGGTTTTTCTCAGTACTAATTTCACCAATAATATCTCCATATTAGATATTTTGTATATTTCTGTATTGCTTTATTATCTAAAATATAGATAATTATGTATATTTCTGTAATACTTTGCTTTAGTTGTAGAAGTAAATAGCCAGCAGAGGGAGCACAACTTACTTTATGATTTGGATTCCAAAAAAATACTAATAAAATGGCTAACACATTGGAGATGCTTATTGTGGAAAGAAAATAACAAATGAGTAATGTGCATATATTCCGTGAGGGACCAGAAGGAAGGCAAAAGTGTTTGAACATTTGAAACATACTGTGAGTGAACGGTAAATAAACTCTGATGAATTGAAATGATAAAATCACTTGATTTACAAATGCCTCTGAAAAATAAGAATTATTTTTAACAAATTTCAAGTGCAGGTAATTAACCATAGATGACTCACAAAATTTTTTGTTGTTGTTGCAAGTAGTACAGAAGCTTTATGCTCTTGTTAATAGTTGAATCAATAGCCTGATTCATGTAGACAGTAACATGATACTTTTTCCTCTCTGACTAAATTCATTCTATGGTATAAGGAAGACCGGGTCAGGAGCTGTGTTCATTTGGTCGCTCATGAAGTGAGACTGGGTTCACTGCTGTGGCTCAAGAAGAGTAGCTGAAACATTCTTCTGACTTAGCTACCACAAAGCTCATTTGGTTTCACAAGACCTTTGGGAAGTTCTGCTCAGAAACATAATTTTGATCACGAGTTGTAATTTGTATCTGTCAGAGTGCACAGGTCAGAGCAGGATACTGGTCTACAAACAGAAGAGGCAACTCTATTTAAAGAATGAAAAATCACTTGTCAGGTCCAGAAATTGATGAGGATGCTTAAACAGGCAGTCACATTGAAGCAGATGAGCAGCACAATCTTTATGGCCAGAAAGAGGAAAAATCTGGCATTTAGTATCTTTCAAAAAGACTACCCAGTATCTGTATTTTTTTGCTATTTTTTATGGGCATTAAAAAGGATCGAAAAGAAGCCAAAGGATACAATAAGAAGAACGGTGTTCATTCTCACTCTGTCCATAAGTGTTTTGAGATGATATGTGAAGAGGAAGGTATTAAACTGAGGAAGAACATGAGCAATTATCGTAGATTACTACTGGGGAAGAAGGAGGAAATAAAATACGGATGAAGTATAAAATACGGAGAAGCAGCCTTTTATGTGCAGTGTGACTTGTATCCGAGCCAAAACATTTACGAAAATCAGTTTTACGACACTTTCACAATAAAGGTGCAATCTAAGTAAGTGATAGCAGAAATTCAGATATCTTAATTCTTTTAGTAGGCTTGAACGGGGGGGTTGGTCCCAGAAAGAGGACTTGCCACAAAACAGAGCTGAGTATTCGGGAGAGTCTATATTGTGTGAAACAAAATGCATTCAAATGTGTACTCATAGCCTTCTGCTTAAGAGACTGTATTGCCGTTCTCATACAGAAAAAGAAGTCTGTGCACCAGTGGTACTTGTGATTGTGTGACACACGGTAACAAAATGTGCTACTTTTAGTCTGGAATGTATTAATAGAGAGAAAATGAGGTAAGGAGCAATTTGCCATAACAGAGCCATCTGCGATGGCAACGGTTCATTCTCTGAGGCTCGGGGAGCTTTGGCGGGGGGAAGCTCTTGCAGGAGTGGGGTGAGGTAGGACTTGCTGTGCAGTGGGAGTCTCCAAGGTTTTACCTCCCCAGGTTGCAGGGCCACAGAGAGAATGACTGACATCCCAAGAGCATTTATTAGACCAGATAGAGAGCCTTGTACCAGCTTGAGGGGCAAGAACAGTGTTCAGGAAATGGAGCTGTTCCTTTATAGATGTCAGAGAATTGTCTGCTCCGCTTACTTGGTACACATCAAAAGAGGATCAGCTGGGCACCTGTAGGATGTAATGGAGACTTGACAGTTTCCTGAAATAGGTACTATTTTCTCTGTTTGATAGCTAATAACAAAAACATTGCATCTTTTTTCCAGGAGATGTTTTCCTATCTTTCAAGTGAGCTGAAAAAGCTGGCAGATGCCCACAATGAGAGACTGTTAGACACACCACATAATCCCATTTCCTTAGGTAATTGTTGTTGTTTTATCTTTTTTAAAAACTTCTAATATACTGTGCATTCATAATTCACTTTCACATACAGTTCCTATATATTAAACATTGTTCACTACACTTCATTAAATTGTTCTTAGGTTGAGATGAAACCATTGAACCCAATAAAGTAACCTACTATAAGAGTAGAGTAGTGACTTGGGCCTTTTATTTTTTTACAAAATTGCTCCTGTCCAACATACTCATTTATTGTAATCAAGGCAGGCAGAAGATGTTAGCATGTAGCTTTATAAGTAAGTAGATTTAAAAGTAAATCAGGTTATAATTATTTTACCCATCATTTTGTAGCACTGTAAAAGAGATTATGTAATTCCTACTCAAGATATTTGTTCTAACCGAAAATTTCTGCTGGACACCAAAGTAATATTGCCTATCTGTGCAGAATCTCTGCCTTACATACTGTTTAACCAAAGTCGTCATCTGTGACAGCTTGTGGGAAAATTAAAAATGATGAAATGTAGTATTCTTATTTCTTTTTTTCTTTGTATCTAAACACAAATATTTGGCTAGATTTTTATTATTGGAAAACAGCTTGTCCTCTGCAGTGGTTCTTTGGAGAAAAAGAAGCTTTGTAGTAATTTTAACCTGGCCTTTTGTTACTTTTAGCCATGTCACTGAAGAATCTAGATGAAAATAACGATGCTGCTGTTACCCAGCTTGGATCCATGCTTTTCACAAGACAAGTTTCTGGAGCAAGGTGAGGATACTATGAATTTGAAAACTTTGGGGGGCTGTGTTAGCACATATTTTATGAAATCCTATATTTGTTTTGTACCAGTTGTCTCATGATTACGGATTACAGTCTGACAGTAATGAGTCAGAGAGTAATATACCCTTCTTCATCACTGTATCTGCTAACAATGTCTACCTGCCTGAGTTAGCGATGAGGCCCCCTTTGTTAGCTTTGGTAGGCTAAATAGATAATCTATTCCCATTTATTTTAGTGTCATTATTCCCTAGTACCCCTTGGTTTCATTTAGCTTCCAGCTGTTGTCTGATCTTATAGTTAAGTTGTAAGCTACTTAGGAAAGATCTTTGTTTTGTTTATTGCAACACAAATATGGTTGTGCTGGATGTCAGGGGAATAAGCTTTTAATACCCTACATAGCTTTTTATCATGTGGAAGAAAATCCTGCTTTCTGGAACTAACTGTGTTTTTTAAAAAAAAATTGAAAATTTTAAAAAATCTGCAACCTGAGCCAGTTTGAGTTGAGTTTATTCTCAGAGACACTGGTATGTGGAAATGCAAGACAAATAATTTTTAGTGATTATGGTTTAAACCTTTTAGAGGAAGAGAATGATTTAAAATCTGTCTTGGCAGGATTCCTTAATCTGAATATTACTGCTGCCATGCTAACTTCTGCCATAGATGTAATGTCATTTTTTTGTAGCAGAGCTGAATGTTTCCACATCAGAAGGTATGCTTCATTAGCTTGGATTATTCCACTTCCTGCACAGATGAATGACAGTAAATCTATATGTACTGTAGTTAGATGCTCTTTTTAATTTGTCTGACCTAACCTTGGCTTATCCTGCAATTTCAGCCATCTTTGGCTGAAATGATTGAAAAGTTTCAATATTTGGAAAGTTAAAACTCTCCAATTCTTTGCCTGATACAACGGTTTCAGGTTTTTCCTTTTTTTTTTTTTTTTTTTAAGGTGAGTAATTCTTTTGTAGTATATACACCATTTGACCTGGCATTTATTTCAACAGATTTTTTGCATTATGCTTGCGCTGAATGCCAGTGGTAGTAACAGCAAACTCCCTGCTTCAGTAGCATAGAGGCTTTTGCATAACGTGTGGTCTGAGCACTTGGACAGAGGAAGGACCTGCTAATCCTAGTGGTACTTGTCTGAACGCACTCTCTTTTATGAACTGCAGGGACTGACTCTACAGAGGTAGTAAATTCTTATCAATTGGTGTTAACTGCTTGATGTAGGCTTTAACTGTAGCCGCAAGGCAAGTTGTTCCTTCAACAAGTAAGGATGTGGATTAGAGTCTTGATTGATTAGGGAATGGGTATGTACTGAAAGTGCTGACAAATAGGGTGTGATAGGTAGAGGTTCTGAGTATGAGGAAGAGGTGAAAGCGGTGGCAAAAAGTATCCACTACAAGGAGGGAATGAATATGAGGTCAACATCATAGGTTGGGGGCAAAGGGAGGTGCAGTAGAGAGGAAGGGGTGGGAAGAAGTTGGGATCCTGAGCCCTCTAAATCACTTGAACCCAGACATTTTTGTCTGCAGTGCACTCTGCCAAGCAGATGTCTGCACTAAGGCTGCTGTCAGGATTGTGATCCCGGGGAGGTCAGGGTCACCACGTTGCCTAAGGAGGGGTCAGCTGACCCAGGTCAGAGACAGAGCAGGTCAGATAGATAGAGCTTCTTATGGAATAAGAAAGTTTGCTGCAGGTGTCTTTTCCCCCACACTGGGGAGTTCATAATACCAGTAGTAAAGACCTTAATAATTTAACTGAAGAGGGGAAGGGACATGTGCACCCAGATTTGAGCTAATTCAGGATCTGCTACTACTGTCACTCATAGTGATGCATGGGCACTAACTTGGAGAATGCCTGATCTAAGGCTGCTCAGATTATTTTGTTTAGAGCTAGCAGATGTTTACACAAGTTCCTATACAGTGTAATGTGTTCATCATAGGGTATCACATAAAAATATCCAAGACATCTTTAACTGAATCACAATTTTGTTTGTTTGTTTCAGGGTTGTTCCCTGTGGGTCTGTACAAACAGTGAATAACTATACTTTTAAAGGCTTTATGTCACATGCAAATGACTATCCCTGTGCTTACCTCAATGCTGCCTCAGCAATTGGAATTAAAAAGCAAGATGTAGATGTATTCCTAAAAAGACTCGACAAGTGTTTGAAGACTTCTAGAAAAGAAGCAAAGCAAGAAAAACATGTAAATGAACTAAGTAATTCTACTACAGGCACAGAACAACTTGAAGACTAGAAGATACAGATTTAGTAACACAGGAAGATATGCTTTTGTTTGAAGTATGTCAGATTTGTATTGGGTTAGCATGGTGAATCTGCAGTGCAGAAGATTTATTCCTGATCTGAAAAACAACAAAAAAAACTTCGGTGAAATTCAGCTTTAAAGAAAAATTATACTCCCTCCAAAACAGAAGGCCAGACACAAGTTTTTTAGCAGCAGATAAATGCACTTAGTATCTGCCAAAGTAAAGCTTTATATTCAGAAAGACCTTGAGTTGGCCTGTCAGTCTGTGGGTGACTGTTTGGACCAGTGTTCAATAAACCACTGAGCTTATTCACATGTTTTTGATTTAACAAAAATTTTCTGTGGCAGTGATTGAATTCCTTCCTAGGTATAGGCCCATCCACCAAGAAATGTTTCACTGCTCTCAAAATATCTCGTTTCTCATCAGCATACTTGCCACTTTTCATTTCTTTTCAAATATTGATGTAAGTGTTGGGATAGCCCTTACTAAATACAATGTTAAAACTGCAAGAGGAAATGATAGAATTGGAATAGTAGCGTTTTTCAGCGGTTCTCACCTCTCATTAACTGCCTAGAACAGTGCAGCCATCAGTGGCAAAGAAAAAACTAGAATACCTCATATCCTGTCAGTACTCAGCTCCTGGAAACATTTGCATTGTTCAGCAACCCAAAGGAATTTTAATAATGAAAGCAATGGGTAGTAGAGTGGAGAGGTACAGGTGTCTTTTTTCTTTCTTTCTTTCTTTCTTTCCACCCCCTCTTCCCTTTTTTTTTTTTCCATTTCTTTTCTTTGATAGGGCAATCAGGTCAGAGACCCACTGAAAAGGAGGAATGCCTTGTGGGGTTAATGCAGCAGTTTCAAGAGCCAGTGAGACCTGAGGGTATTTTGGCATTTTTAGTCCCTTGTTGTTAAAATTTATTGACTTCCATTTCTGAAGTGTCTCTCACCGTTGGCACTGTTGCTTCTGTGGCTGTGTGCAGTTGCTGATCTGAATTCATTAAGCAAACGATAAATTCAGAGTCTGTTCCTGAAACAAAGGTGCAGTATCACTAGAGTGACAAGCACTGTAGGCTGCAAAACTTCTAGTTACTCTTGAATGCAGTTACTACATTGTATGTAGTTTTTGTGTCATTTACTGTTGTAAGTTAGCTTACTGTTCAAAGACATTTTCTTTGTCTGTCTGTAACGTAGTAATACTTGGGACACCACAATTAATGAGTTCTAAATGTCAGGAAATATTCTAGCTGCTTGGTTTGATGGGATCTGAGACATGTATCCTCCAGAGCCCTCTGTAAATGGCTTAATCAAAATAGTGCTGCTTTTGAAAGGATGAAGTGATACAAGAGGTGATGTTAATATGGGGAAGTTAATAATATGCTAATCATCATGAAGGCGCTCTCACTTAGTGAGGTCCGTTGTATCTTAAGCTTAAATTGAACTGCTGCTTCTACATTGTTATTGCTACAGTTACACGTTAGATTGATTAAAGTGTGTGAAGGTACAGCTCCCTGGCCTACAGTCACAGTTGTCATTTGCTGTACGAACACATCCTAGAAGAAATGTAATATAACCTGACCACCAAGTCCTTGTGGCTATAAGGAGCTGCAAATTTCTTTTCTCTCTTCTCCTCTCTCTTCTCTTCTCCTCTCTCTTCTTTTCTCTCCCCTCCCCACCTTTTCTTTTTTTTTTTGAGAGCATGCTATACCTCAGTTTTTCCAGTCAGAAAAGCTCTTCCACAAGCTTGGGAGCCAAAACTCAGCAGCTCACTGCCTCAGTATTCAGTATATTGGAGCAGCCAGTGAAAACCACAAGGCCTTAGTGATATCTTTCTTCTTGGTTTTTGATATTGCTGTGCCGTGCCTGAATGAGTATAAATTACTGATTTAGATGACTAGTCACAGAATGTGACCATTAGAACTATTGTTAGGAGAGTTTAGGGAGGTGCATGATAGCAGCTAAAATAAGCATTTGATGAATAATATCCTGAAACTGAATAAAGAAAGCAGCAGTTGCTTTCTCTAAGAGGAAGAAACCTCTGCCTTTTATGTTCTCATAAGAAATTGTGTGCTGCAAATAATTCACTCGCTTCTGCTGTAGATTGAACTGCTTTCTCAGGTAGTGTTTTTCCTGTCTTCAAAATGTTCCCCATTTGTAATCAAAGCTGAAAATTTCAACAAATCTCTATAAACAAGCATCCAGGGAAAGAATTAAGTGGTTCGTTCTGATTTTGACCATTTAAACCTTTTTTTAAAAAAACAAACAAAAAAAAAAAAAACAAAAAACCAAACAAACAAACAAAAAAACCATTGCCTTTTATGGCTCTAATTGGAAAAAAAAAAAAACCCACATTTTTAATTATATCACTGTATCTCTTTGCAAATCTTAGTGATGCCACCTGAAGTCAATAAATTTAAAATATTTTGAGAAATGTGCCCCATCATGATGTATAACTTTTGAGCTAAATATTTGTGTTATGTTACTTTGGTAAGCTGGTGTACCAGTTTTCAGTTTTGTTTGCTTGCTTTGTCCCCTTAAATGTCTTCAGTTAATGTTAAATTTTTAAGACAGAAGGATTATGTGATGCCCTTACAAATATAATGAAATTTTATGTAATTCAAATGGCGATACACTTTCAAGTAAATGGAATAGAACTGGTTATTTAGGAGTTTCAGTAAATAAAAAGTACTTTTTCAAGGAAGAATATAAATCACTTATTGTCTAGTCACTAATATCTATAATGAAGTAGTGAAATAATATTGGAACATACACCCATGATCAGAGTTTTCATTTCCTTTGTATAACAGATACGGGGAGATTTCATGGCTATGGCAGGTCTCGCCCACTAAAAGCAGCACTGCGAAAATTGGTAGCAGCATGGGCATAGGTTTGTCAAACTGTGCAGAGCAAAACAAATTTGTTAATAATATTTGCCTTCTATGAAAATCTTTCTAAGATTGTATAGTGAAGTAAGAAGTTTCTTAATTACTTGTGCAGACCTTTTCCTAACCTCTACCTAGGCACATGTTACTAAAGGCTTCCACATACCTCAAAAATCTGCAAGAGCCAACTTGCTGTCTCCAGCATCCACATGACTAGGGAGATATCTGGGAAGGCTGCCTGGGCTTCAGAACATACTTAGGGTTCCTACCGCAAGAATTGTTAGTAGGAAACACCAAGAACAGATGCCGGTTTAGTAAGGCTATCTCACAGCTGCTCTTTGTGTAGCTACCTATCTTCATCATCTTCTAGGTCACAGCATGTGGCCACCAGCCATGAAATAGGCTGCAATGGGCAAGCACTTGCAACATTCTAGAAGAGTGAGTATTCAGAAGGAAGAGCTTAGGAGGTTACCATTCTTGCTACCTCGTCTGCTGCTTTAAGTTACTGCCCTGTAGCAGAGATAGCAAAGTGATCTGTCTGCTTGGCAGCTACCGCAATTCATACAGTCTATAACATACTGAAACCCGGGTGTGTTTTGAGCATTGCAGGTACGAGAAGCAGTGGCTGTAAGCTAGCACACATCCCATTCTGCTTCTGCAGGACGCATATATATACACATATACTTGCTTACTGAAGACAGTAACCTTTGGCAACGGGGCAGGATGCATGGGTAGGACCCCTCAAATTGCTGCAGTCTGAGTCGCCAAAGTGACTTTCCTCTTCCAAGGTGCCTGTAGCTGTTCTGTGAGATGCTTTGCTTTCCCTCTGATATTACATCTTACTCTACCTGGATCTATATAGGTGCAAGAAACAAAGGAGCAGATGGACATGCCTTATAAAAATAGCACTGGGATAATACAGTGCAAGCAAACTGACACTGAACGACCCATCTCACAGGCCCACTCTTAGTTTACTTCTTTTGTAGTATCTGAGATAATGAACAAAACTAAGGACTATTTGAGCAATAATACTGCCTATTCACACTCTGTTCCTAACGATTGCTTAAGATACAAAGCAAATAAAATCTACCAGATGCAGCAAACTCTCTGGAGCCTAAGAAAGCAAAATTGTAATGTTGCAAATGTAAATGCTGGCATTGCAGCTTAATACACATATAAACTGAGCAATCTATACTGTGCGATCATCATTTTTTAAGAAAGGCTGGAGCCCAGAGACTAGCAAATGTTCTCATCTGCAGTGTATCAGCACTTCTCAGTTTTCAGCTGCTGTATAGATAATAATTCTAATTGAAGAATCATTACATGAATCCATATGTGAATGATAGATGGGCTATAGCCTTTTGTTCGTGATGCTTTAAAAATTGAGTTGCTGTTTTCATTTTTATAAGGGGTGATTACATTGCCTTTTTTTCCCCCCCCCCCCTTTTTTTTTTTTGTAATGCAACGTTTTAATCAACCTGGCCTGACAGGATTTGGAATCTGAAGGAAAAACAATTTCTGTAGCTGACAATTTTTTTAAACAATAGCTATTTAAAGGCTTGAATTGGTTACAAAGTGTCTCTCCACAGAGAGAACCTTTGTTCAAATGTTTTTAATTCTGAAGCCAGTGCTTGAAAAATTGTGCTCTATGTGCTCTGTAATAATTGTTTTTCATGTATTATACTTTTTTCCCCTCAAAGATAACGGCATACACTTTAGTGCAGTTTAATAATTCTTTTTAAAAATCATAGTTAAAAAGGCATTTGCTGTGTCACTCATCAAGCATCTGTCATATCAAAGAACTAGTAATATATTTATCTTGATGGATAAGCTTCAGTGTTCTGGACCAAGTTCAGTGTAAGTGGACCAAGCTTTCAATACTCCTTTGGGGATCCTAAAGTGAAGTTCATGATCTAATTAAGATCGGTTTGATAATTATATCTGCTGCTGAACAGGAGTCTTTCATCATACCACATTTCAACTAAATTCTTTAGCATGGCATCAAAGCTGATCCAGTTCAGAAGCTGAATTGCTTTCTTAACATGGGTGGTGAAATTTAATTTGCCTTTAGATCCCGGATTCAAATTCAGGCGCAGTCAGCTATAGCAAAATTATAACTGCTTTATTTTAACTAAATGTGAGTAGAAAGTGGTTTCAGCTGGGTGCTACCTTTCCTATTGCTTGTTCTCAAAGAACTGCAAACATTAGGCTACTGTCTTAGCTGGTTGGGGCGAGGGGGGGGAAGTTGGTCTTGTACAAATAGC